ACCTTCCCGGCCTCTGCCTGGACCTCCACCTTCCCGGCCTCTGCCTGGACCCCCACCTTCCCGGCCTCTGCCTGGACCTCCACCTTCCCGGCCTCGCCTTACTCTGCCCACCCTCTGCGTGTGGCTCAAACGACACCTTTGCAAGGAGGTCTTCTGTAAACCCTCCTACTTTGACTACTTAGCAAGGTGCTGGGCACCTGCGTTGGGGACCTGATGGCTCCTCTAAGTCTGAGCCACTGGACAGGCTCAATGTCAGGGTGTCCTGGGCTCAGTCTTCACAGTGGGTGGGACTCTCCCAGACGTCCGGAGGCTCCCGCGAGCTCAGCCTCTACACCTGACCTTGGCTTTGACTCATTAGTCGGATAATGAGCTGATGGCGCGTGTGGGCGGCTGAGGTGAGCGGCGATGGGAAGGCCGCGTGTGTCCCAGGTCCTGTGTGTACAGCCACTACTGGTTCTCCAGGCTACTAGTCGCTGACAAAGCCTGGGGCTGGGATGAAGAATTAGGCCTTAGCTGCCTCACAGTGCTGAGAGCTCCGACTTGGGCCCACTAGCTTGGCGTCTTTTCTTTCTCCAGACTGCCGAGACGGCACTGAGGTTCAACGTAGCCCTTGTGGGATCATATCCTGCCACCAAATATTCTGGGAGATCCTAACACAGTACAAGGATCTTATTCTAGAATATTCCCAACTTAGTTCCAGCTCAGCTCAGGGACTGAGTAACCTGACCCTACCTGGTAGGGCTCTTCCTACCAGGAAGGTGTCCCAAGCCCCCTTTGAACTGTCTTCACCTTCAATAGATTCCCACCATGCAGCAGCCTGGACCTTCCCACCCTGGGAGACACTGGCAGCCAGGGGTACCATCCCTGCTTTTCCTGGATAAGAGAGAGAGATTCTCAAAGGAAGAGTTGGCTTTAGTCACTTTTCAGAAGCTTAATTTAATAGGCTCTTCTCGATTAAATAGAGAGTTCTGGTGGCCAAGTGTTAAGAAGCTGGACTGTAATTCCAAAGGCTCAAGGTTCAAATCCACCAGCTGCTTCATGGGAGAAGGATGGGTAACCTACTCCCATGTGATTTACTGCCTCTGAAAACCCACTGGAGGGTCAGCCATGGGTTGGCTCCAACTCAGTGGTACACAACAACAACAACAACAACTACAACCTCAATTAACAGGGAGCTCTGATGACTTAGTGATAAGGAGTTTCACTGCCAACCCAAAGGCCCAGGGTTCTAATCCATCAGGTGTTCTGTAGGAGAAAGATGGGCAATCTCCTCCCATGTCATTCGCTGCCTCTGTAAAATCCACTGGAGCGTCAGCTATGAGTCAGTTCCTTCCTGGCACATGACAACACCCTCAGACACTGAGTGGGAGCTTCCCGGACCTGGAGCGAATGAGGAGAACGCGGGAATGTGTTAACCTCTTCCTTATTCTGTCTGACTTTCCCAATTTCTCCCTGCATCCTCTCCTTATCACCCAGGTGCTCCCCCGACTGTGACACTCATCCAACAAATATGGAATGAATGTGACTAGTCTCCGGGGGCGTGATGTGAGGGGTGGCGGGATGTCGAGGGCCTGGAGGCCCTCTCCTCCCCCTGGACTTAGCTTGGGAACATCACCTATTGTCGTATTCTCCAGCTCGATGTCCTGTAGGCACTGCTTGTGGTCCATCTCGATCTTCTCCAGAAAGTTGCACTCCTCACCTGGAAGCCCATTTGCCTGGACGCCCTGAGAACAGAAATAGGAAGGAGACCCATGAGCCTCTTGCAGGGTCTGCCCCTTGTCCTTGGACCCCTGGAGCATGGAGTCCAGCCAGATCTGGGAACCTGATTAACTCTCTTGTTGCTTTTGGGGTGCAGGTTGTTTCAGACTAAACTATGACAATCCTAACCCTAGACTGGGCTCTGCCTCCAAACTCAGATTGATCCCCAACCCCAAACCAGACTGAGGTCCAAACTCACCCTCACACTGAGTCCTAACCCAGACTGAACCCAGACCCAGGACTGACCCAAACCATTGTCCTCAAGCCTAGGTCTGCCGCGAGTGTGCTGTCATGGGTTCTTGGTGGTTCCCCAAACATTGCTGTGGCTCTAAGATCATCATTTTATGAGCAGTGAGACCGAACAGAGGGCGTCTCCTTAGAGCCCAGAGCTGGCCCAGTGGCATCTACAACTCTCTCCAGTTTGAGCTGGGGCTCCTCCACTTCACCGCGATCTCCCCGGATGGGTGGGCTCCACCTAGTGCTACCTTAGTATGGAGAGTTGGACCCTAGCCTCCAGTTCCTGGGGTCTGGCCTTGGAGGAGCCCTAGCCGGGTTTCCAGCAGGAGGAATTCTGGGAGTATCTTTCAGCCTCTGTTCAGATTCTAGAAGACTGTTCTGGAAGCCCTGGGTCAGCAGAGTGAGACCAGGATACCTTGAGTCATCGGAGAAGAAGACTCACCACTCTGGGCCCCCTTGCACGGACTGCACCTGCCTTTTCCATAGCTTCCAAACAATTTAAGGTGTATCAGATATAATGTGCAGGTATAGGTTGAAAAAAATCAGAGAGGCCCTGTTAAGATCACCAGGCTTTCTCTGCCTTGAGAGGTGGGGTGAAGGAATGTAAGGGCCCACATTTCTTCTTTCTCTCTTCATGTGTCCTGGCCAGGGATCACCAAGTATGGCTAAGGGAAGTTCACATGGGACAGACATGTAAGTAGAGATGTCTAGAAACAGCTAGGAAAAAAAAATCAAGTCCCGGGTGCTGCTGGGTGAGGAAGGGCAGGTGGCCATTCCCATGGAGGAACCACCGGGCTTGTGGCAGCTTCTGTTTGGAAGGACATGGGATTCTGTGGTTTTGAGGAAGTGCTCCTGGCAACCTCACATCCATCTCTGTGTGGCGAGGAGAATGTCACAGTCCCCAGGAGGGCTGCGGGGATGTAGCAAGAGTCGTCGGGAGCCAGAGATGCCCAGTGTCTCCTTCAGCTGGCTCCTTCCATTCTAGAACATGGCCCCACCTCCCAGGGCCTCAAGTTCCTCTCTAATGAGCTGCGACCAGCTGGTAAATCATTAAATGTTAGCATACTATATAGGACCTTTATTGAAAAACAGAACAATAAATATGAGGACCTGAGGAGGGAAGGGGTGGGAATAAAGAGGGGAGGGTGGGCAAGGGGTGGAAATCAAAGGGTTGTGCAATTTGGTGTGTGGAGGGATGGGGAGGTGTAAGGAAAGATCTGACAGGAATCTGGAAAATGGCTTAATGAATGATTTTATAACATATAATGAATGAGAATATATTAAACACAACGTGAATGAGAGTGCGAAATACAATGTATATAAACTTGTACACAAATCAACGTAAAAAAAGTAATTTTTTTTTCAAAGTTAGCATGTCGTTGTTGTTGTTATATGCCATCGAGTTGCCTGTGACTCATAGCGACCCTATATACAACAGTCCTAAACCCTGCTCTGGCCTGTGCCAATCTCACTGTCTCCGACACACCGACTCCCATTACCCCAGTTGCTGAATCAATTCATCTCATAAAGGGTCTTCCTCTCCTACGCTGTCCCTCCACCTTCCCAAGGATGACATCCTTCTCCAAGGATGGGTCCCTTTTTGCAACATGTCCAAAGAATGTCAGACGAAGCTTCAGAATTTTTGCCTCCAAGGAGCAGCCTGGTTTAATCCTCTCCAGGATGTACTTGTTCATTTTCTTAGCAGTCCATGGTATATTCAATACTCTTCTCCAACACCACAGCTCAAAGGCATCAATTCTCCTTTTATCCTCCCTAGTCATTGTCCAACTCTCTGACACATAGCAAGTGATTACAAAGACCATGGCCTGTATCAGGTTCTCCAGAGTGACACCATGACTCTTCAGAACTTTGGAGAAGTCTCTAACAGCAGACTTTCCCATCGCAATATGTCTTTTAATTTCCTGGCTGCTGGTGCCAAGAGCGCTGACCGTGGAGCCAAGCAAACTAAAGCTGTGAACAATCCCAGTCTCTTTATCCATCCTGATGCTGCCATTTGGCCTAGTGGTGAGAATCTTTGTCTTCTTGATATTGAGCCTCAATCCATATTATGTTGTTGTTGTTATGTGCCGTCAAGTCACTTGCGACTCATAGTGACCCTATGTACAACAACCCTAAACTCTGCTCTGCCCTGTGCCAATTGCACCGTCTCTGATACACCCATCCCGATTACCCCAGTCACTGAATCAATCCACCTCATTATACTAAAGTTAATAATAGATCTATTATGGAACAGGATGCAATATTTGTGTGGCTATTTTAAAGGACAAAAGTAAAATCTTGAGGGGAGCTCTGGTGGCTTAGTGGCAAGGAGCTGCAACTACAATCCCAGAGGCGCAAGGTTCGAATCCACCAGATGCTCTGCCGGGGAAGGAGGGACAATCTCCTCCTGTACCAGTCAGATCTGATTTGACGGTACACTCACACACACACACACACAAAAATAATTTAAAAAAAAATCTTAAGCAAATATATCCCCATGTGTTATGAGTTGAATGACATGCCCTCTTGTCCACTCTGTAGTGAATTATACATTCTAATTCCCGTGGTCATGAGCCCGTTGGAGAATAGGTTGTCTTGACTATATTAAAGAGACAGTATTCGTGTAGGGTGTGTCTCAGAACAATCTCTTTAGTGGTTTACAATTTCCTCTAGAGCTGGCACCCTGATTTCAGACTTCTTGCCTCTTAGAGTAGGAATTTGTTAGTTAGAACGACCCACTTGCGGTCTTTGTAACAGCAGAAACCAAGACTCTGTGGTTTCTTTTTTGGAGGACTTGTCGTTAGGTGCCGTCAAGTTGACTATGACTCATAGCGACCCTACAAACAACAGAGCTGAGCCTCGCCCCATCCTGAGCCATCACCACAATCTCCGCCATCCTCAGGCCATCACTTGTTGCAGTGACTGTGTTAATCCATCTCATTGAGAGGCTTCCTCTCTTTCGCTCTCACCCTTTCCCAGTATGAAGTAGTCAGAAGGGTTTTCAGGCTGGAATAGTTGCTCTGCCATCCACGGATGGCTCATCTGCTAGGTGTAGGTATAAAGACAGGTATAGATGGTTTCTGGAATAAACATTGAAGGGCTGGCCACTCCCAGCCCATGGCCCAACACTGATCTACTTTGATCATCCTGGAGAATGCTCTTGGCTGTGCTACTTCCCTATTTCCCGCGAAAGGATCTTAGCCTTACCTCTTCTCTTGTCCAATGCATAGAAAAATCAAAGCAAGATGGATGGTAGAGAACAACCATGTCTCTATCCCCTTATCTTCCTCTGCTGCCCACGTCTTCTCTTCTAGCTGGGAGACCACCTCCTTCCCTCACTCTCGCTTCATGGATTTCTAATAAGTCTTCTTCCAGGGAATTCAAAAGTGCCATTTACACTGCGACTACAACGCTTGGTGCTTGGCCCAAGTTAGGCTACTGAGAGCCAGGTGATTCACTCCTGTTGTTCTGGTTGGGGGCCAAAGAGTTAGTTCTGACTCAAAGAGGCCCCATGCGCATCAGAACGAAACACTGCCCTAGCCGGTGCCAACCTTACAATCATGACTATGCCTGAGCCCGCTGCTTCAGCCAGTGTCAGAGCATCTCCCTGAGGGTCTTTAACTCTTTTCCTTTGAGTCTCTATCTTACCAAACATGATGCTATTCTCTAGGAATGATACCTCCTGATAACACATTCAAAGTACATTAGATGAGGCCCTGCCACCTCCCTCCTAAGGGGCATGTTGGCTCTACTTCTTCTAAGACAGATGTGTATAAAGAGAAGAAAAGAGGACATGGGGCTTAGGGCCAAGAGTCTCTCTCTGAAAGAGCCAGAGGGAGTAAGAATAGCACTGCCTCTCAGCCTCCCAGAGCGGAAAGCAGATAAAGAGCCCATAGCCCAGCCCCATGGTGTCTCTAGAGCCCCAGCAGCAAGAGATTAGTTTATTCGTTGCTAACTCACAGATTCACACTTACGGTACAACAATGGGGTTTATTAGAAAAGTGAGTGGGAGAGGCAAAGAATGTCTCACAATACAAGTCCAGGCTTTAGCCCAACAGTTCCAAGACACAAATTTTCAGCAAGTCCAGGCTCTGGTTTCAGTTCAACAGTCAAATACAAATCACCCAGCAAGGTTTGCCTCCCAGTAGTAATAACGAAATCATTCAGCAAGGTTGACTCTGAGCAGTAATAAATCAGCTTCTCCTTCCAACATCCAGCAAGAATAGCCAAACTGTTAACTGTGGCCAGCACAAATAAAAGAAGCCTCAAGTCGTACTTTGGCTACAGGTTGTCCACAGCCATGCCATAGTCTCTCCCCAACCAGGGTCTCGCTCTCACCAGCGTGGTGTTGCCACAAACCTTGCTTGCCTCAAGTCTTGCTGCCTAGTGTGGGAAGCACTGTTTCTCTTATCCTAGCTGTTGGTGATTTGCAAGACTATGTTGATTTGCAAAACGACCTGTCTGCAGTTAAGGTAGCTGGAGACCAGAGAGCTAATAGCTAAAAAGGCCAGTATTTAGGCTAACACCAAAAATGTGTTGTTCTTCTGTCAATCTATGGTCTATTTTCTTTGCCAACAGCATAATTAGAATGCATCAATTCTTTTTTGGTCTTCCTTGTTCATTGAACAGTTTTGTTTTGGTTTTTTGCCATTGTACAATTTTTGCATGCATATGGAGCTATTGAAAATAACATGGCTTGAGTAAGGCTCACTTTTATTGTCTTTGCTTA